AAGCTTTATGGTGGAGCAGTTATGTGAACAAACGAGCGTGTAAGCGTTTGAATCTCTCACATACCGATTTTTATTTGCATTGAGACCCGTGAAGATTCGTGTTAGAATTGATCTTCAGCAACCCATGCTTGTAAGACGGGACTAACGGGATCGGGTAGTCCGGTAGTCCGACACATATCATCCTATCCCAGTTATACGTAGATCGATGCTCATGCTGTTGATCACTGAATTATCTGGTCCAGAATATTTACAGAACGCCGCTATACAGCTGGGGTATTTCTGAGTGCGATGGGAGTCACTTTAACAAGCGAGTGTAGTTTCAATTTGCTTTTTTATGCACTATAGTATCTAAGTTGGATCCTAGCGGACTTACACCTATCTCAAACAAACAACTTACCAAGATAAAAAGTCAAACAAAAAAGGAATCGTGAGGCTGGAACATATACTCCCCATCAAAAGTTTAGACTCACTAGTGTAAATGTAGCCACTTACTTAAGTCAACTCTTCTAAAGTAGATTTTGCAAAATTGTCCATACTGTTTAAAGGTACTGTTTACACATGAACTGATGTATTGTAAAACAAATTCGTAACGTTGGAAAGATTATTGTCATGGGCTTAAAATGATGAAACTGAGTGAAAATTAGCTAATATTTAACCAAATTTTACACCACAACACAGCTGTTCACATACAAGATATTTGCACCCTCGTATATAGCTACGCTTAAAAACAATGTGTTCATATAAAACCAATCAACTTTAATAAATCTTTAACATTGGGCGTACATTTCACTTCACTGGGGATGTTTTAGTGTGACGTTCTTGCGTCATAAATGTTTCTTCTGCGTAGTCATTCAAATAATTTCGTCAGGTGTATGGCTACAGGGTCACATGACTGTACAAAGAACTGATAGACACCGTATACATTAACTCATAACAAACACACAGACTGTCTGACAGACATTTTATTCAGTATAAATCCAATAACCCATGATACAAATAAATTTCAAAGTTGAAACAAGCGCATATAAAAGGTTACAGGTTTATGCTTTGACAATTGTCGCTCAAGTGTTATGCATACATTTTTAAAAATTACAAACATTTATGATAATATTTCTATGTTTACTGTTAAGGATGTGTATTAAGTTTTGTCTGCTGACAGTATTATACAAAAATGGAGTAATAAATCTATTTCTAGCATCATTATGCAATCTACAACCAAAGAGGACATGTGTTTCACCTTCAATACAGTTAATATTACCTTGTTTACAGTAAAAGCAGACTGTCAGCCATTGGTATGTCCCACCTCTATGCCTAACCCAAAATTGTTGCACCTGGACTTTGCAAGAAGAGATTTTATATATGGAGAGATAGATAATGATAGGTATATTCTACACGTACAGTCCGTTTGACTTCATTTGAGACCGATGAATTGCTCACTAACACAAAATCTAATAAATGAAACAAAATCAAACTTTGCACAGTCACATGAAATCGACAGACCAACTCTGATGATTTGTCTCATAATTTTGGACACCCGAATAACAAAGTTGTTAAACAAACGATCATCATTTTGTTGTCACTTTTCGCTATTTTTTACGAGGGGTGACCACTTGCTGGTAGAACAGCCACTCAAAGAAATGCATTTAGCCTCTTCTGCAACTGAAGTGCAGTATCTGCAACTCCTGACACATCGTCAGTAAACATTAATGCATAAACACTACCAACATTTACATAGATATTAACACCTTTTCCAGCAAAACCTTTTAGAATGGAAAACAAAACAGTTGATAAAACTAATGAATAATTTGGAAATTTGAATAGGGCATTGAGGGGTACTTTGATTACACATGAAAGTATCAGTGAGGCCATTTGGAGTCCTAATACAAACTACCAACTTCGAATGCATGGACACTAACATATTATAAGATTTACCAGTTATTTAAACATCCTCTAGACAAACATATAAAACTGTATAATTGTATCAAATTCCTTTGCAAAATCTATAAAAACACAATGAAATCTTCCTCTCAAGATATGACTCTCCACGAAGTAGTCAGTTTGAGATATATTGCAAAGTCATTCTAGTTTATCTGTTTTAGGACTTCAAAAATTATAACTTGAAGTTTATACGCCATTCGAAATCCGTCTATACTAGTCGGACTGCCTCCGTGGTGTAGTGGTTAGAGCGTCCGTCCGGAGAGCGGAAGGTCGCGGGTTCGATCCCTGACCGCGTCATACCAAAGGACGTTAAAATATGGTACTTGTTGGTCCCTGCCTGGCGCTCGGCATTACTGGGTACAACAAGGACTGGTCGGCTCGGAGTCAGTATGATGTGTCTGAGTGGGGTATTCATGCTTCACTGCGGCATGGTATCTCAGTGGGCTAGGATTATAAAACCAGCTTCAGTCTGGGCTAGTACAAGCAGCCGCACGTACACATACACACGCATGCACGTCGTCATATGAGCGAAATATTCTTAAGCTCGACGTTAAACCCACTTTCACCTCACCTATACTAGTCGCCGTTCGGCTTGACCCGGAATAACGAAGATGGTCTGGAATTAACTATCTGTAGTGAGTGAGTGAGCATGGTTTTACGCTGTTTTGAGCAAAATTCCAGCAATATCACGACGGGGGACACCAGAAATGGGCATCGCACATTGTTGCCATGTGGGGAATCGAACCCAGGTCTCCGGCGTGACGAGCAAACTCTTTTAACCACAAACTACCCCTACCGCACCAGTAGCAGAAAACATAGGAGCGACATTGGTGTCCTTTTGGCCATATGTTGGTCCAAACAGTTTTATTGCTTGCCTAAAATATGGTCATGTTAAGACAAATACCTAGAGAAAGAGTGAGTGAGTTTTACGCCGCACTCAGCAATATTCTAGCTATATGGCGGCGGTCTGTAAATAATCGAGTGTGGACCAGACAATCCAGTGATCAACAGCATGAGCATAGTTCTGCGCAATTGGGAACCGATGACATGTGTCAAGCAAGTCAGCGAGCCTGACCACCCGATCCCGTTAGTCGCCTCTCACAAGCATGGGTTACTGAACATCAATATTCTAACCCGGACCTTCACGGGTCACCTCAAGACAGAATATGACGTACTTTACGAGGACCCCGTTATAATGATGGGTTCAGCGATTCCCAATAATAATTCTTGTCTTTCATATAAGGCTTGCTCCATGTTAAGCTTTTCTTCTCCTTACTGCTCATACACCAAGTATGTATGATAAAGTGAAAGACACCGCATTAACTTGTTCAGCTAATTACAGTGTCGCGATTACACCACATAATTATCGGAACTCTTCCACCAGGGTGACTGAGTGAGTGACTGAGTGAGTGAGTGAGTGAGTGAAAATTCAGTGTTACATAATTTCAGCCATATAGCGACGAGACCAAGTTAACATATATACACAAATCTCTTCTTCAAAATACTGATGCCTTTTATTGTAGAAATCCGGTTTGTTTTAAGACACGCGTGATAGTTGCCTTTTTTGGCTTTCGAGATGTGCATATTTACTAAATTTGTTAAAATCTTCAATAATCGTTATCCAAGAGATCAAATGAATAACCACGAACAAATTTCAAACATGGAGACAACACCGAATGCATAGATAAGGTTGGATGTGCTATAAAGGGTATTTCACCAAAGAAAATTGTTATTTAATATTTGAGCACGAGCAAATCTGTAATATTTCTCTCTTAGACATTCCCATACTTACCAGTTTTAGCGTTGGAAAGAAACAAGCACCATTATTCCCATAATGACGAAATGTTTACGAAAGGATTATCTTATCAAATGTGAGAATTCTAGGGGATTCCTTCATTGTCAACGTGGACCTATAACTTGTCCGAAGCCCAGTTTGTTGGGCTACTGATGATAATTGGTACATGTATCTGGTGACTACAGGATAAAGTGATAGTTTTGTTTGCCAGTAAAAACTGATATTTCTCTGGCTCTAAGGAACGTTTCTCATACCTCGTCCATTGTACGTGACTCCATCAGTCTACTTTTGTTTAATAAAAGATTGTATGTTGCGTGTAGGAATAGATTGTATGTTGTCTGTAGGAAGAGAATGTTGCCTGCAATAAAAGATTGTATGTTGCGTGTAGGAAGAGGTTGTATGTTGCCTGCAGGAAAAGACTATGCCTGCAGGAAAAGACTATTGTGCTTGCAGGAGGAGATTGTATGTTGCCTGCAGAAAAAGATCGTATATTGTACTCTCCGTCTTAATGGAGGAAATTAAGCACATTGATTGATTCATTCATTCATTCATTGTTGCCTGTAGGCTAAGACTGTACGATGCTTGCAGGAATCGAAAGAGATTGTATGTTATTGGATATTATTCTATGGTTGGTTGGTTTGTTGCATAACGCCGCACTCACATTAGGCGGCGGTCTGTAAATAATCGAGTCTGGACAACACAATCCAGTTATCAGCAGCATGAACATCGATCTACGAAATTGGGATACGATGATATGTGTCAACCAAGTCAGCGAGCCTGACCACCCGATTCCGTTAGTCGCCTCTTACGACAAGCATGGGTTGCTGAAGACGAATTCTTACCTGGATCTTCACGGTTTCATGAAAAGAAAATGTGTAGAACAGCGGGTATGTAAATTGTTTTCTTTATAAAAGATAGGTAGAGTATGGTAAAGGAGAACGGGTCGTCTTTATGATAAGGGAAGTACAACGTGAATGTTGCATTATGACTAGTTGCTCACTAGTGGGACATAGGTTGATATATCCTCTGTTTATGTTTGATGAGCCCCAAGGAACATTAACATACACAACCCATGGGCACCGAGGGACCAGTGAACACATTTATCTTACCGAACACTTCAGTGTTATCGGACGATACTAAAAAGTACCGGAATGCAGCAATTAGCCAATACAGACCGAGTACTATAGATCATGTGCAGCATTGCATTATGACAATGGTGCTTGCAGCGGCTACCACAGCCTAGCTGGCGTCAGACAAGACCCGAACATGTAAGTAGTTCAGTTTATTGATCTTACATTCCTCGAAACAAAATATAGCACACTTTGTACACGTTACCCATTTTACCACTGTTGTTCCGGAATTCGAAAACATCAAGCATTTATGTATCTATTGGATCGGCCACACTGTTAAACCTCCTCCTGTAGACATAAACATTTTTCTTCAGCCATGGAAAGGTTGCCTTTTCTTGAAGTTGCTTGCTCGCCACAATATCAGTATCAAATCCTTTGCTCGATAAAAGATTCTGTACATACGCCAAGGGTCTGTTGTTTATGTGTTGAAGACCTCCTTGACCAGGCACTGCCCAGCTCAGTACTATGCCTTTCTTTGCGTGACGCACGATGTTGTCAATGTAGACGTCTTCAGACTTACTTGGAATATGTTCTGCCACCTCCAGACTTATGATCCAGTCGTACAGCGGAAGTCCGTACAGGGGAACCGTTAGATCAGCAAACTGAACTACTCCACCGCTTGTTTCCCGCCCATAGGGGGCGCCATCAAAAGCATCGTATGCACGAAGTCGATTGGTCGAGTCCAGAAACTTCTTGTAGTCGCCCGGACCATCCCCGAAACTCGCAACTGTTTGGTTTTGAAAGAAAAGTGCAAGGTAGCCTGCCAGAGGTTTGTCAAACAGATGCTGCCCACCTGTGGATGAACTTGAGTGTTTGCACCACCCGCCAGTAACAGCAACAGAAGACTGTTGGAGAGGAATAAACAAAGCTTAAGTTATTGGTACACAAAATATTCATTGACTATCACTTACATTTTCTGACACATTGACGTCTTTGGAAATACGGACCATAATCCATTATGTGAATGAGCGAGTTGGGTGTTTAAACGAGGAATTTCAGTGTTATCATTTTGTCTCTGCTTGATGTGGGCTGCAACCCACGGACTGGGGAATGATGCTGATCAACCTGGAAACATTCAGTACGAACTGGTGTAGAAGGTCAACTCAGTCACCAGTTCAAATCACCCTAAATTGTCAAGGGATTGATTTGAGCCTGCTACACCGGTGTTTACCAAAAGTCGCAACAGGTTGTCGTAATATATCGTGATATACTCGCGAGATTTTGTTTGTCAACAAAAGTCTGCTTGATGATTTCAAGCAGGTGAAACACGCCTGTTGTGAGAGGAGTCTAACGGGATCGTCTGACATTGTTTTCCAATTCGCGTAGATCGATGCTCCTGATGTCAATCACTGGATTATCTGGTCCCGACCGGAATATTTACAGACAGGTGTCATATAGCTCAAATATGGCCGTATGTTGCATTAAACATTTAACAAAAGTAGGTAAAGGTCTCTGAGACCTGTTCTCCCAAGGGCATGTGCTTCTGATGGGAGAAACCGATGGGGCACAACAGGCTCACCTTTTGGCGAACCTCGGGTATCATCAATAGGCTGTAGCGATTCAAAACCACATACCCATGATGCAGTATGAATTGTACAATCGGCTTTGATTTTAGGAACGATTTCTTATTGCAATTCACAGTGTTTAGCCGCTTTCATTCATTGCAGACATGAATAGCCTTCGTAGATAAACGTTACCGAAACATTTGCAAGAAAGCATATCCTTACCGTATTGGATTTTGTAGTCATTTCGATCATTTTACAACTCATAATCGCCAGTTCTCTCCTCGCAGTGTTCAGTATCTCCGACAGCTTATTCCTCTGTTTTCTTAACCGGTCGGCTGCCATGAAACCACCTTGGTCGGCTGCCATGAATCCACCTTGGAATACTGACCGTTCATATGCAGCTGACCTGGAATTGGTTAGGTTAGCCATGGGAATCCTAGTGGTGAAGAAACCGATGATGGCCAGTACTGAAAGTGCCATCGCTAGTTTGACGAAAGTCCTTTGTTGCAACATGGCGGACGTGTAGCTGGAATGAAACAGATATCGTTAAAGGTCTTTTCCCTCTGGATAATGTAATTATACATGCTTTTTGTGTCAAGTGTAGCACTAAAGACAGCAATGTCACAAATATTTGTCGTTGGTTTGTTGTTTACGCCTCACTCAACAACATTCCAGCTATATGGCGGCGGTCTGTAAATCCAGGACAAGACAATGCAGTGGTCAACAGCATGAGCATCATTCTACGCAACTGGGATACGTTGACATGTGTCAACCAAGTCAGCGAGCCTTACCACCCGATGCCTTATCATGGCTCTAACCACTACACCACGGAGGCGGTCTCATAAGTAAGGACGTAACGAAGACATCTCCACGGACTCGTGAGTAAGCAACTTGAATCCAAGAAGTTAAACATGATTATTCCAGACTCCAGATGGTAGGGTGTTTGTTACAAAAGTGAACAAAAAGTGAACAAAAAGTGAAAATGCAAACGAACACTGAAAACATACAAGTATATAAAAACATCAAACTTGCACAGACAGTGTCTTAGACTTACAGTGAGTTAGGCACAGCAAAAATAACTTAGTTTCTGTTCTTGCGGAAACCTAATGGATACTGGGTAATGTAGGTTTCCGCTAGATTTCTGTATCCAGAAACAGACAATGCGAGTTTCCGCATAGTTTACAAAACTGAAACTAACAAATCTAGGTTTCCGTCAAGTTTCTACAACTGAAACTATCATTATGCGTTTCCATTTAGTTTCAGTTCGCTGAAACATTCATAGCAAAATGACTTAGTTTCCGCTATTGCGGAAACCTATGGGATACTGGGTAATGTAGGTTTCCGCTAGGTTTCTCTTGATTTCAGCTTAGATGAAATGGCAAACTTAGCTTTGTGCTGTTCCATTGGGTGACTATATTTCCTTACTGTTACATTTGCAAGATAATTTCTATATACAGAATCCAGCTAGGGTCCATGCACGAAGCAAAAGTACTGTATGTGCCGTAGTCCCTAGTATGTTGATCAACCTTCAGGTGTTGGCAATTCATAGCCCATTTTTATACTGTACCGTTAAAGTGTTTATGGTTACATGCCAGTTTTTAGTGTACATTTGTGATAGACTAGTTATTTTACTGTCCTTTGAAGACAGGTAAGTATATAAGTTTGTTTTTATTTCATGTACACATTTACAAATTTACGACTTTCATAGTCACGATATGGCTGCCGATGTGACTTTGTGACTCACTCACTCACATTCTGCATACTTGTGAATGTACCATTTAATATATTTTACACGAAAAACAACAAACACAGTAACACAGTCACTGTTATGATTCATCTCTTTCATTATTTTGAATAGCTCACATTTCAACAGAACTCAACAATGTATGTATGTGTGCGTGCGTGCGTGCGTATGTTTGTATGGCCACATCAAGAGGGAATCAGCATTCGAGAACAACTTCTGTATGAATATGCAAATACAAATATGTCAAAACCCTACAACATTTTATGCATATGATGAAATGAGGTCTACTAGTGCAGGCATAACATATTTGCTGTGGTATTTATTAAACAGATTTCAAATTCAAATTCAAATGTTTATTGTATGAAAGGTCATGGGCCCATATACATATACATGAAGTGTACATTTGAAGCTGCCTCAATGTATCTTAGCATATACACACTGACAATCTCACATAATAAAGACTTGGCAACTTGCTGACAATCATGAAGCATACTGAGCAGACAGCAATCCTCTGATCTGGTACATATGAAGCAGAGCCTGAGTTGAGACATTTGTTTTGCCACACAGAGAAAGGGGAAATATATCCAAGTTGATTACAACAAGGCTTGAACCAGTCCACAACCGCAAACAGATGATGTATGCTCTACTTAAGATCTGTGGGTGAATATGAAGAGTCCTGGTTGATGTCTGGCACAACATCGTTGCCATCCTCATCATCCCACACAGACTCTGCATCATCCTGCAAATACAATACATAAAATGCTTAGTAAAACTACAAATACAGCCAAAGTAACACATGTATACATATTCAAAAACATCTGATCACAATGAAATTATAAAATTTAAACGACTAATTTGTAGATGTAACCAAAAGATTTTTTTCACAATCACAAAGGAAAGATCTGTAGTATACATGTATATTGTATATCTTCCATTGGACTGACTGACTGAGTTTGGTTTTACGCCGCTTTTAGCAATATTCCAGCAACATCACGGCGGGGGACACCAGAAATGGGCTTCACACATTGTACCCATGTGGGGATTCGAACCCGGGTCTTCGGCGTGACGAGCCAACGCTTTAACCACTAGGCTACCCCACCGCCCCTCTTCCATTGGACATGTCACTTATTTGATTGATTGGTACCAGAAAATAGTAGCCAACCCAGTATTCTGAAGCAAATTGTGGTAATATTTATTACTGTTACTGTACTCATATTCAAGGTAACATCTACTACCAAATCGCCAATTGAAATCTAAGCATAGGTAAAACGGTGCATACATATTTTAAATAGATACGAATCATGTTTAAACACTGAATGTAACACCTGATTATATATATGTGTGATCTTATTCAAATTGAAATGACCAACTCAGCTGAGAAAAGTATACAAAACCTAACATTTCCCATGAATGAAAAATCGTGGGTATTTCTTAGTTTTATCAACCCTCTAAGGAAACATTCACAGCAATATAATAACATAAAATATTATTTTTTAAAGTGACCTTTACTTTAATTTAAAAAACGGTAAAATGTGTAACAACTTATTCACTTTCAGTTACAGTTACATATCTGATATACAATAATTAAATATATTCATTATTGATATATGATTGATAGCAAAGGGACAGATCAAACTGAAATCCTTAAGTGAAACCTGTGAAGTGAAGTATCTTTGACGACTAACCTGATGAGAAACTGCCGTCCATTCCAGACGGATTCCTTGTTTCCTTGAAACAAACGACTGGCAGTGCGGACAGAAAACTGGGTCTTTTTCTTTGAACTGAAAAACATATCAACTTATGATTATACACTGGAATCCACGCACTGTTACATTTTGAGTGATTATATTTTTCACAAAGATAAAGAAATTTATTACGTGTATATGTATCTATTTAGTGTTGTTTTTGACTAAATGCTGATGAATAAAAAATATTGTTTTAAGATTTCCTTTAATGAAATTAGGAGCATGGTATGGTGTAACTATAAATGATTGCCAAGCCTCTTGTCAATCTCGAACAAGTCAGTGGATCCACAATACGTATCTGTAAATCAAATAATTGAAACAATGATTCTTTTAGAAATGTTATACGTGACTTGTGTCAATGCATTGTAAGGCTAAGAGGTTTAATAATTGATTACACAAAATATTACACAAAGCTATGAGTGTAAAGTATATGTAATAATTGTTTTAATGGTTATAAAATGATAAAAAAGATGAACTGGTATAATTGGATAAATACCGCCATATAGCTGGAATATTGCTGAGTGCGGCGTAATACTAAACTCACTCACTTAGATATATCGAGCTGACATTACATATAAACTAGTAATATATACTGCAAAATTAGATAAGTAAACTTATAATACATGGGAATAGTATACGTAGACCTAGGTTTAGAACTGAAAAGAATGATCATGATATAAGCATGTCTAATACACTTGCATGTTTTGAGCTCAATTGGTAAGTTACTTACATGATGAAGTTTTACGTCCAGCAGAAATATTTTCGTATATTGCCTACTCCTGACAGGGTTTTGAAAAATCACCTATTTGCCACTAACACAAGTTCTCATGAGTAGGCCTCATGAAGCTCGATCAGGACTTTTAAAGTAACGTGAATATGTATTCAGATTTATTCACTGCTAATTATCTCTAGGCCTATATCTTGATGCTTGACACTGAGGAGGAGCAATTAGTGCCCATAATGCGATGAAAAGACCCTTAAGCCCATAACAGCCCACTGTTGTCACTTTGGGTACTCACATTCAATCTGCTCATTTCCACCTTTCACGGTCCCCTTTGATGTCGGCAATGTAAACAAATAAAACAATGGCGACCGGATGACGTCCACGCGAGACTACCTAAATCATTATAAAAACACAAAGCTGACATTTTATGTGTATAGTGTATGTTTATTTTGTTGTATAACGCGGAAAGATATTGTCAAACTGTAATGTTAGATTTAGATTAAAAAACAACAACAAAGTGTTTTTCCCGTGAGTCTTTGCGAGACGCCATTTTCACAGCCGCCTCAGTTTCCCTCAAAGCACTGGAAGTGAGAATTCGCTACCTGGAAAAGAAAGATGGAAATGGCTGCGAAAAACTCGCAGTATCACGACCCTGCCAGGTAAGACCAAGTTATTTTGTTGTCAAATAACGTTTAATGAATTATTATTTACTTTACGTACAGAAATCCGGATTGGTAAACAAGCTAATCTGTCGAATTACAGCCACTGGCCATAGGTATTCGTCAAATGGTTAATGACCGCAAGTTTGAATCTTCCTGGGTCACAGGAGGGGTCATCTTGATAAAGCTCAAAGATGGCAGGGTGAGAAAGGTCGCAAACCCCACTCAGTACAAGGAAGCCTGCGATTCCACGAAACTTCTGACAACTATTAGTCTTAGCCAAGAGAAGGTCGTGAAATCATAAAATAAACGCTCATTGGCACAAGAGATTCCGTGCTACTTTGTATAGTTAACATATATGTGGTGCTTTGCCTCAGCATGCATCTAGTTTGTTAGTGCATGCAACGTTGACATGATCTATGATCAGCATGTATCATGATCATTTCAAAATGGGTAACAATTTGTCATGTTTTATTTTAACGCAACAAGCCCAACGTCTTCGCCTACACGCAGTCAAGATGCTTTGCATTATTCCCACGTGCAGTTAGCAATGTTTTCACTCGCTGATGAAGCGTTTCTATACAGTATATGAGTGTCTTCAGCTTATTCTGTGCTGAAAATGTGTTTACGTACAATGTTTGTCTCCCGACCGGT